CTGATATAAAAGTTTGTATATGATATTCTCATAACATGCCTTAACCTCTTGGCTACGTAGGACCTCCTGATGAAACAAAGCGTGAATAGTGCTTTTAAAGACATCTTTCCCCATTCTCAAAATATACATATCTGCTTCGTTTCGTATCCTAACATAAACAAAGACAGTTTTTTTTTTTGGAAATTGACTAAATCTGGCATATTTCAAGAATGGGGAAGATATGTGTTAAAAAGCTATATATATATATATATATATATATATGAAATATTGTTTTAAGGTGTGATATATTTATGGGATAAAGTGCTCAATATCAGAGATAGAGCATATGTAAATATAAAAGTGAACATTGAAGTCAACACTCAGAGGCGATAGGCTGTTTCATGCTGAACGCAATCATCAGGCTGATGATTGCGTTCAGCATGAAACAGACTGTTGCCTCTGAGTGTTTTATAAGTGTTTCACCCCAAGCAAGGTGGGAAGCCACTAGCATGCAAGGGGTTACAGAGAGTTGGAGCGAGAGCAAAGAGGAGTGATAGAGGAAAGGATGAAGAGAAGGAAAGGGGATAGATCAAGGCATCTGGAGACGTCGATTGACATTACTTTTTTTAGCTATCAGGGAAACAGGAAGAGAGGAGGGAGTTCCACAGAGGGAGGCGACGACACATCTGTGAGAGAGCAACTTCAGACGAGATGCCAGATCAGGGCCAATTACGTTACATATCCATCTCTGGATCTTATCAAGAACCTTGAGACAAACAGAAGGGGCACCGGACCATATATGGCAGCAATACTCCATGTAAGGGCAAATGGTTGTCTCTCTCTCTCTCTCTCTATATATATATATATATATAAAAAATACAAATATACTTAAATGCCTATAATTGATAACAGAAGCCATTGGTTTATACCAATGGCTTTCCATACTTAACACTTCTCATTTTCCCTCTCACATGGTCATGTGTGATATTATTATTATTATTATACTGCTGCAGTAGTAGTTGTAATGACCAAAAGTACACAGGTGTAAGCTTTAAGAAAGCTTTATTCAACTGAGAATACAAAGTTTGCATATAATGTCCTTTTATAGTCCCCGTAAACAGAAATAGCTCTCTCAAAAAGGAGAGTAATAAAAAAAGGGGAGACCAATCTTGATTATTCATAACAGAAGTAAATTTGAAATCCTAAATAGACTTTAGATGTTTACATGAAATAAGATTTGGAATAAAAGTTTATGAAAAAAAAAGAAACTGAAATCATTTTGATGCACACTAATATTATATTATGGGTGATTGAGTAATAATTGCCACAAGAAATACATAGGAGAAACCTTGAGAAAGTTAAAATATGTATACAAAAGGGTTTTTTTTATGAAACTACACACTCAGTGCATTAGTTGCTCATCATAATAAGTTTGATTATAATTTTGATTTAAGAAATACTAGTCTAATTAAAAGAGAAAGCAATTTGCTAAAACAAAAGTGCTTTAATCGCTAGATCATCTGCAGTAAATTTGCGTCCAGGTTCTTACAACATTTCACCTTTCTTGACAGATCTTCTATTATCAGAATGTGGGATACAAAATGTGAGAAAAACTTAAATGAAGTTAAATGAAATTAGCTAAACTATATACCCAAAAACATTAAAAAAAAAAAAAAATTCACTTTTAAAATTTCAGTGTCCCTTCTCCTTTGTGTGCATATGTAGTTACAGCAACAGAAATATCACTTTATTTCAATGAAGTCCTAAAGGACAAAAAATGCCATATAAATATTTTTTTTCCACTTTGTCATGAATTTTCCTATACACCATGAGATCATTATTTTCTTTGATTTCTTTTGTCAACTCATTACCACCCAAGGTCAGAAATGGCATGCTGATAATTTTACCCTGCACATTTCAATGTAAGAAAAAAGAGATAATGGTAAAGCCCTTTCTAAGGTGCAAGTTATTTTGGCGGGGGAGTAAAGAGAGTGGGCTTATTTTTACTTAAACCTCCCCAAGATACACTAAATTACAAAAAGGAAAAATAAAATCTAAAATCTTAAAATACTCCACTTAATAATAAACTTCTAGGTCTCTTCGAAGCTGATATGTTTAACTTAATTTTAAAAAAAAATTTACCTTTAGAAAGCCATCTAACCAATTCCAATATAAATTCAAAAAAGATATTAAAAACATCAGAAATTCTGAGATGTGGATTAAAGCCGATAAATCTAGAAACATATACAAAATTGAACCCTCGAACTATCACAAACTCCTCAATAAAATCACTAGTACTTACAAAAAAGACAATAACAATAGCACTTTTGTATTTCTTTAAGATATAGGTTGTCAGGGATACTACCAATGAACCTATCAAAACCTTTTCCAATCAAGCCCAAGACTGCAACTCGAATTATTGATGTCTTCATATGCCACATTCTTGAAATTTCTATCATCATTATAATAATAACAAATAAAAAGTTGAGTCCCAGTTATATTTTAGATGTGTACATGAAACAATCTCTGGAATAAAGGTTTAAAAAATCCTTTTCTTACACCTTGATAAATAATAAGGGTGAAGACAATGAGACAAAGTGGTACATGTTTTTTTTTTTTATCAAAGACGTGTTTTGCCACCAGAGAAAATGTGTGTTCTCTTTGGCTTCTTCAGTTTGATAATGAAAGAAAGACAAAAAAACAATTGTGAGGAGAAAATTTCTTGGGATCTCTAAAGGGAAGTGCACATCGAAGGTCAAATTTATTGCCCCAACTTATCACCTCATGATTTAGGCTTGAAGAGAGCGTGTCTATTAATCTTGTGGGTTTTATCTGTATCAGAGTTGTTCTGTATTGTTGTATTTTAGTTCAGGAACTTTTTATTATCATTTTTATACATACATATACATAAACACATTTTATATATATATATATATATATATATATATTGTGTGTTTGTGCAATATATTATATATTATTATTTATATTATTATATAATATGTGGCACTTATTAGAAAGCTCAATATCAGAGATAAAGCTAACATATTTGGTTGAATAGATGTGAGTTTGTGACCCTGGGTTTCATGCTTTTGTGATCATCAGACAAACTGATTAATTTTTTTCTATATATATTCCAAAAAAAAACACCAATACTTTTTTTTAAACATACATAAATCCAAAATTTATAAAAAAATTAACACACTATATATACACACACACACACACACATGAAAAAGCATACACACACTTTTTATATATATATATATATATATATATATATATATATATATATATATATATATATATATTTTATATAATGTCAATGACATTGATTTAAAATATGGTTTTTTCAATTAAAGGGACACAACTAATTTTATTTTTTCTCAATAGCTCATCTTGTCATTGAACTTTTAAAGGTAAACTTAAATATCAATTAAGAGCTATGACAGTATCAGAGGTAGCTAGTGAGGATGTTTAATTACGTCGGTTGAATGGATGTCCTGAATTTAAAAAAAAAAAAAAAAAAGGGCAACGTCATCTTTTTTAAATTTTTTTTTTTTTACTACTTTTTTATTTAACTATATATATATATATATATATATATATATATATGAAGAAATATAATTTTAAGATGTGCTATATTTATGGGATAAAGTGCTCAATATCAGAGATGTGTGTAAATATAAAAGTGTATTCATATTAATTTTATTTTACTAAGGTGTTATTGTTTTAAGGTATTTAGTGATTGGACAGCAGAAATTTAGGTTAAAATTCATTCAATTTAAAAAAATTTTAATTATTTCATAAATTTTAAATAGGTGTTACATCTTTTTAAAATTTTTAAAAAATTTATTTTCATTTACAATTTTAATTTTTCATAAAATATTTTCATTTTTATTTTTAATAGACTATAGTTTATTTATTTATTGCATTTCGTCAGGCCTGACAATTGCATCTAGCATGAAACAGACTGTCGCCTTACATCTTATAATTGCATATATTAATTTTATTTTTACTTCTTTATTTATTTATGTTCACATATTTTTTTAATTATATATATTTATATATATATATATATATACACACATGCACATCCACCTGGGTATATATATATTAGACCCATTTTTTACCATAATTATTATTACAATAATAACAACAATATTGTTATTAATATGATAGAGTCTTAGATCAATTTTAGAGATTTACATGATTTAAGCTTGGAATAAAGGCCTGTAAAAACATGAAAATACTTTCTAATACCTTCTGACAAGATTTAAACAAATACTCCAATAGATTGCCTTTTATGAGAAGCAATATTAAAATGCAAAAAGCCAATGTTTAGACAGAGATATATCACCTCCTCTCTATTCCAAATTTTTAGGTCACTCTTTTACAACCTTTTTTGTAATAGTTTTAAACCATTTTGAATTTTATGATTAAGCCTCTTCATTGTATTTTTAAAAAATCTTTTTTAGTGGTGTCTTTTATTACAGTGTTTTTAGGCCAACACCTTCTGAGATTTAAAATGACTGAAGTAAGACACTTACTAAAAATAATGGACTTTGCCTTTTCTTTTTCCATACAATTATTGACTTCAGAAAATGACTACTAAAAAGTACAAATATCTTTAGTCAATTTTAAGTTAGAACACTGAGATAAAGAAAATTCATGCCAGTCTACTGATCCCAGTTTAACTGAAATAATTGTCGCTATATTTTTCTAAAATATTTCATTGCAATTACATTATCAATATCCTTAACTAAAGTAAGTCTCCATCATCTTCAAACAAATTTGTTAACTTTATACCAGCTTAGAATATCCATTACGAGTGCCAGATTTTGATGAAGAAGTGGCCTAGACTTGTGAAGTCGTTCACAATCCCTGACTATGTAAGAAAGACCCACAACAATGTCAAAAACATTATACAGCTTTGAGTTCCAACCCTCTGTATTACCAGAAAAATAAGAGATCCCTTCATTCTATAGACTGCTTAATATTTCAAGATGACCCACACACCCAAGCTTACAGCCCCTGGTATTCCCAAGCAGTCACCCATCTAGGTAGTGACCAGGTTCGATGTTGCTTGACTTTGGTGATCGAATGAGAACTGGTATTTTAACAATCTGTGGTCTTAAATGGGTGGTGTGATGGATAACAGCTCAGAATGAGGAATTGGAGAGCTGAGTTCGAACTTCATTCACTTATGCACAAATACCCATAGGGAAGATGAATCCATCTCTTCTCCCCCCAGTTATGGGTTAAATATCACGATGGGTCCTAACCGTGGTTGGCAACTAGTCTATCTATGGCAGAAAGTAATAGCAACCTACTGTGGGAACTCTTCCACCAAGTCAATTATGAATCAAAAAATGACATGATTGCCCAAGTGTGCATCACTCATTACACCTGAGGAAAGAAGGGGAATCATAAAGAGACATGATTCTCCAAGCATGCATTATACATGGCACCCGAGGAAGGTAGTGTAAAATGCAGATATTTCCAAGTTATTCTGTAGATTATTTTGGGCAACAAGTGAAACTATTCAACTAAGAGAAAAAAAGTAAAAACGAGGTACCTTGTTAATTAAGTGCATGTGCAAGACAAAGTTTCAAACTAAGAAATTTGTGTGTATATATACAGGGTATCCATAAAGTTCGTGTGCACTTTAAAAAATTTATAACTTTATTTTTATTTGCGATAGAAATAATTTGTAAAAAGGATTAGAAAGAAGTAAATCTATATTTTTTAAGGTTTTATTGAAATTTTATTTAAATTTCCACATGTTCTCCATCATTAGCAATACAAACGGTAATACGATTTTGCAGTTCGTGGAAAACATTTGCCAACTGATTTACAGTTATGTCAGAAATCACATTAGTTATTTTAGCTATACTTAAAACTAGGTACATTAAACTTTATAACATTTTTTACAGATTATTTCTATTGCAAATACAAATAAAGTTATACATTTTTTAATGTGCACACGAACTTTATGGACACCCTGTGTGTGTGTGTGCGTGCGTGCGTGTGTGTGTGTGTGTATATATATATAAATAAAATGTTAAAATATTATTTCTATTTTCTATAAAATTCTTTAATTAGTTTGGATTTCACAGGTTTTATTCATTAATAAAATGATTTTGTGTTGCATGTTGTCTCTAGCTTGTAATGGTCTACTGGCAATTCCTCAGTAGGAATATAACAAATATGCAATTTGCCATTGAATGTCCAGTTGGGAATTAGTGGTTAGTAGTAAACCAGTTTCACAGGATTTGGGGAAACATTGTTTTCACCAAATACAGGTGGGTTATTTTTAGGAGCAATATATACAAGTTTCAAAGCTGTTCAAATGACGATTAAAAGGTGACAAAAATTGCAATCTAATTGATGAGGCCCATCACTAAACAATCCATCAACGTTCTCATATAACTAGGATCAGCTATGGGAATTGCTAGAAGATCCTAGTTTGGGAACTATCCAATATCCATTTCCTTTTTGTGTATAAAAAAAAGTAAGGAGAAAGATAGTGTAAAGCCAGAAATGTTATCAATTGGTGAAAGTCTGAATGAAAGACCAAATAAGCCAAAGCAGTCTTTGCAATAAAGTGCACGATATCAGAGAGAGGGAATATTAATAGGATTAATACAAATATAAAATTTGTCAGCTGATTGAGGTTATATTAAGCACAACCCCAGAATTTCACAAACATCTTTGTAATTGTTCAGTCCACTCATCAGGAGGTTTCAACATAAAAATATATGTCTGAATATTACTGAGTAAATAAATGACATGGAAAACTGTGAGGCATTTCATTAAGAGTACATCCTTTCTGAATTTTAGGAAGATTAACTAAAAAAAAAATTGCTTTTTGTGTGATGCGTTTCGTCTTTGATGACTTCATCAGACTAAAATGATGTTTTTGTTGATGCGATTATGTACACGTTGGTTGGTGGGGATAATATAAAAGTACAAATGTTGGTTATAATTATTTACAGAGAGGAAATGCTGAAAATTTTGGAATATTGAAATTTTAAACTTTTAAATTTAAAAATGGAGCACATTGCAAAAGTTTTCCATCTGATCAATTCTTTTCCTATATATATATATATGCACTACAGTTCAAAAGTTTGAGGCTACACCTGGTAATTTTTTAAATTGGCCCAAAAAGTAGTTGATTTGTACTTTAGATAAGAGAAAAATCTTATACATGGTTAAAAAAATTGAGATATGATTTTTTTTTATTAGAAATTTTATTATGACGAAAAGAAAAAAAGCATTTTATGATTAAATTTTGCTCTCGTCAAAATATCCTCCTTTAGCCTTGATTACTGCAGCACAAATTTTTGGTATTCATGTCGAAAGTTTCTCAAAGTATAAAATTTGATAATTGATTCAATTCTTTTTTCAATGACTCTAAGAGCTCTCTTTTTTTTCTTTTCAATCTTTTGTCAAGTTTATCTCATGCTAATTCTGGGTATGGCTTCAAAGTTTTGGATTGTAGTGTATATATGTATATGTATATATAAAATAAAAATGCTAGCTATTCAAACTACCAAATAATATAGCCAAAATTATATAATATAATATATATTAATTATAGCAGAATTTATTGCTAATAAGGTGCTCAATATAAGACCATGGTGATTATTATTATGATTATTATTATTATTATTATTATTAAAATAGAAATAAAAATATTCAATACTTACCAAAGGTCACCTCAGAGTTTTGTTATTTTTTTTTTTAAATCACTCATCAGGACTCTCAACAAGAATATATGTCTCTCTCACACACACACACACACACACACACACAGATAGGAACAGAACAATTTGGACCAATTAGATGGCCACAGACACTAATGCATAGCACCATATATATATATAAATAAAAAGACAAGAAGGAAAACTATTTTTAGCCAATGCATTTCATTCTCTGAAGGGACTTTATCAAGACTAATGTCCATAAAGGACAAAACGTGCCGGCTAAGAATAGTGTTTTCTTCTGTCTTTTTACTCATTTTGTTCCTTCACAGATACACTCCATCGGAAAATAATTTTACATTCACACACTTACATAAAATATATATTATTCAGTCGTATGGATATCAGTTTGTTCAAACAAACAAAACACAGAAGAAAATTTTCCCCCACCAAACATAATCAAACACAAATAAGCATAAATAGATCCATTTTTAAAAAAAAATAAACCAGTTTGTCTGATGATCACAAAGGCGTGAAACCCAGGGTCACAAACTAATATCCATACAATTGAATATGTTAGCTCTATCACAGATATTGAGCACTTTCCACTAAGTACCGTATATATATATAGGAAAAAGAAGTTCAAAATGCAACTAGAGTCTTTAAGAATATTTATTTAGAGACAGTGTAACAACTTAGTCTAAATTAATATTCTTAAAAACTTTTCATATATATTTACCTATGTATGTATGTGAAATTTTATTTTTATTGTAAACCATTTATGGTAGGGAGAATATATGACTTTCTATTTAATCGGTTAAATTACAAACCTTTTAGCATTAAGTAAAAAAATATATATAAATACAGTAAATTTTTAGACAAAAAATATTTAATTTCCTTTCATATATTTAATAACATACTGAGATTTTTGTGATGTTTAATTCTCTTTGATAGAAAAGAAATTTATCGAGTATGTACTGCTGTAGTTTCTTGAGTGATTGCAGAAGAGCAAAATTAGTTACTAATTGGAAATAAGAAATTGCTTTCATAACTTCCTTACACAAATCAATATCATAATCCATCAACTTGTTTCACTGTTTTTTGGTTAATCACATATTTTTATAGATTTGGAATTTTGCAGACACTAAAAGATGCATAATTATATGTATGCTCTAAAAGGCTGCTTACAGCAGAAACATGACGAATATTGTCCGATCAGGGCTAAGAAGTGAGTCATTAAACAGTGATCAACTAAAAAACCTCTTTGGTTTGTTCATGGTGGCCTAAAATAAGCAAATTGATAGGTGGCCCAAAATAAGCGATTTGATTGGTGGCCCAAAATAAGCGATTTGATTGGTGGCCCAACAGGTGATAGAAATCTATGAGATTTGAAGGTAAGAAGCTTTGCATTAAAGAACAAAATAATGGAATGGAAAAAAATGCTTTGGGGCAGATTCTTTTCCAGACCAATTTCTGGGAGCAGCAGTTCTTGCAGTCGATCTGCTCACCATAATCTAAAACACTTTTTAATTCATTGCTCAGATTAGTCATGCGGCTTCTGAGAGTTATTTTTTTTTTGTCTCCCACACACAAAAATAAATATACTTAATGTTTTTTTTTGTCTGAAACCTGCAAATTGATGTATTTATCATAATTGACTGCTTCTGTGTTAATAATATTTGTCCAACTTTCAACTTTTCAAATCATATCAACATAATTTAGATCCTCTTTGGTTGGATCTTTTTTTTTTTTTTCCTGGAGAGGTTTATATTGATTTCTGCCACGTTTACATTTGATGCTCCAAATACCTGAACTGTGAAAAGTTTCTTGGAGAACATTTTTTTTTGTATTTCTCCAATACTTTATGTTATTTTATTACATTTTGTACTATATTTTTAAGTGCCATATCTCAAATATAAAATAATGAATTTGGTTATATATATATATATTTTTTTTTCAATTCATTTTCATGAGTAATAATTATTTGCTATTGAGAAATCAAAGATGAAGCCCCTTTTTTGTTGTTTGTTTTTTATGGATATGTTAATTAAGATTATATTGAATTTACTATGTTCACTATCATTATTATTATTATTGCTATTGTTCTTGTTACTCCTTTTTGTAATGTCAGTCAAAATATTTCCCATAATGCACTCATATTTTTTTTATTACATCTACCAATCTTGGTCCCAGGTATTGTAATATTGAGAAAGAAATTATCTCCTCCACCCCCTCATTAAAATTCACTTTAAAAAGCAAAATAAAATTTTTTAAAAATCACATAAAAAAAAAATGTGATTTTTTATTTATTTTTTTTTTTTTTTTACATCCTCTTTACCGAACTGAAATTTCAAAATATGGCCACATATAACACCTTGAATTCTCTGCATCAGAAAAATAAATTGTCAGTAAAAAAA